CAAGTCCCAAGACCAAGGCCCAGTGATGCGGTCCCCAGAATACACGAGTGAGACATCCGCAAGATAGAGGGAAGAGGCGACAGGTATCGAAGCCGGGCAGAGTGAGGGGAGAGACATAAGTGGAGAGCGAGAGGAAAGGGCGCGCGAGATGTCCGTTACTAGGAGACTGAGATTGGAGCTCCGCCGATGAACTGTACAGGACCTCCGACCGTTGTACGAAGTGCCGGTATAATTGAGCGCGCGAGTTGTAAGTGGGTGGCTATAGGTTAGTATAGGGTCGCAACATATGCAAGGATTGTGCAGGTTGCAAGACGATTGCAAGACGATCGCGAGCGCTTCGCAACCTTGTTCCAAGCGGATGTAATGATCCGAGTGTTTACCATTCAGGCCAATATTACGATGAGTATACAACGTGTTGAAATGCCATGTAACCGCGGGAATTCTTATCACTCTAACAACTTCGGCGCCGTTTTTGTGATGTGATAGCGTGCTACTTGTACATCCTGTATCTACGCTTCTTGCTAGTATAGCAACGTACGAGTATACAGCTTAGAAGCCAAACAGATTCGAAACCCCCCAAGACACCAGTAAACACATTTTCGTCTCCGTGCAAGACAGGGCCACCTCATCAACATCCATCCGGAAACGTGGCTCTGTCCGCAACCTCGAGGGGAGGGAGCGTCGCAAGGTCCTCGAGGGAGTACGCCGAAACCGACCCGTCCAAATACCTCGAATATCGATCGCCATGAAGGGAGCTCCAGCGTCCCCGGGCGCTCCCGACGTCGCTGTCCCACCCGCGGTACATTTGTGAGGTCGCGGAGGAGGGGACGAGCGAATCCAGGAGGCCGACGCCTGAGGAGTCTGAATCACTGGTCTTGTAGCTGTACGTGCGAGTCGACACACTCTGGGCGTCCCCGTTGGGATCCACAGCAGGATGCAAATTCGAGCTCGTCGGGGGAGTAGGAGATGTGATAGAAGGCTCGCGTCTGAGGGTTCCGCCTTTTACGTCGGAGATAATCTGAACTTCGGGGGACTGAAGGGCTGCCGGACGCAATGCAACAAAGGGCTGTCCACGATTGGGCTCCAGGCGAGGTGGCTCGCTGAGGGGAGTGATGGACCTCTGATGCCCCAGGGGGGAAGAGTGCTTCTCGGAGTCGTCCTGCACAAGGGCGCCTGGAACCTTCTCCCTCTCTTGTTCCCCCACCGTCCCGTGTGTATGCGCACGTCGCCTCCGAAGGTAGACGAAAGCGACAATGGCAGCTGCCAGCACGCCGAGACCTCCAACGATGCCGCCGGCAATGATACCTGAACGAGCCTGAGAGTGGCGTGTGGTAGAAGGGGAAGGCTGTGGAACCGCTGTCTTCTCAGATAGTATCGATGATGTTTGAGTTGTAGTACCATTCGTCCCATTGCCATCCGGGACTGGTTTCGCGGTGGACGCCGGCGAATGGGCGGGGACTCCAGAGAGGCAGGAGGTGTTGGTGCCGTTAACGATCGTGAATATGGTGGACTCAGCTGCGATGTTTGGACCCATCGCCCACAAAACGTAAATCCCCGCCGTAAGATTGACCGACGACCACAAGAACGACTCCGAAGCCGCATCGACATCCTGCCCGATAACCAAATCTAAGATTGGACTGCTAACGTCGCCAAGGTTGGTCACGACGGTGGAGATCAGGAGAGTGATGTTGCAGTCGGCGCCGATGTAGTCCCAACCAACGGTGGTTGACCCGCAGGTGTCCATCGTGTAGGGCATGGTTCCGAAGGTGAAGTTTGGATCCGAGCCCACACTAGTCGGCGTCGCCGAGCTGGTGTCAGTGACGGACGGTTGGGTGCCTACGACGGAGGTCATCGTTGTCGATGTTTGCGCAGGAGGGGGGGGGGGTACTACAACCGTGTCGGTACTACTTGTCACCGTTCCCGTGGTTCCTCCGTCTTGCAATGTTCGCTCAGGGTATATTGTGGAGCTGAATGGATTGAGCGAGAGTCGAGTGCCGGGCAGCGTCACTTGTCTGCGCTGGCCGCTGTGAGGAGCTATCTCGCCGTAAGCCCCATTGGATCGGCGCACCAGAAAATGTGTGACGAGTGCTTACATGCCTTAAGCTCGTTTCGACTTCTGCGAGGATGCCTGGTCGCCTCTTACGATTATCGCCGATGCCTCAGGCTGCGAAGACATGAGCGATACGGCTGCATTGGGACTTATGTATACCGCACGCAATCATCATAAACTTCAGGAAGTTGACCTTGTGTTAGATGAAAGCCGACTCATCTGCACTAGAGGTCCGTTTGCCTACCTTTAGCTTTATCATCGCCCACAGAAGCGATACATCGTGAAGTTTAAGTAGGGTAGAACCTGATTAAGTCCAACTTCATGGCCTATTCAAAGAGGGGGAGATGGTCATCACGTTCAGCAGGTGAGATCGTACCTGGCTCGCTATCGTCTCACCGCCGCCGATGGCGGGTCTGTTGCCCATAGGAAAGCCTGTTGTCTCCATATGGGCTGTGGATCCGCCATGGGCAGGGTGGGTATGTTCAGGAGATGTACATCGATGTGCGGGACAAGCTGCAAGTGTACCCAACGCGTTGAGGCGGGGACACGAGCGTGAGATTGATCAGCTTGCAAAACTCAATCTGGCAGCTACACAAAGTGGCCGCAGTGGCAGGAGGGAAGCCCCACTTCGTGAATGATGTATCTCGCACTGCCCAAGAGTAATCATTGATACAGGAAGGAGAGACAAAGCCGAAGCGATAGGGGCCTGAAGCATGTCCGATGTGCCTCGTCCCAGCGAGCGTCGAAGCGGGCTGCCCCGCCTACATCACAGCAGAAACTGATTAGTTTCAACAGAATATAAGGAATGACGCTACGAACCCGCGCCCAATGTTCACACCTCTCCATCCGGCAGCGGTGGGACGTCGCCAGCAACTTCTTTCGTCGACGCCGTACGAGTGTGATTGCGCGTCCCACGGTGCACACTCCACGTATCTGGACTGGCGCGCTCGCGGGACTCGGGAGAGCTGAGGGACGCGTTCCACATGCTGTCCCTGACGCGGTACATCTGCGAAGTGGCAGATGAGGGGACGGCAGAAGCGCCGCTGGGCCTCCGTGTGTGGGGGGCCACCGAGCTGTGCCGGCGCAGCCATATCACCGAGGCTGCGTCTGCGGCGTCGAAGGTGCGCGGCCTGCGCGGGCGGTCGGCGACGGCGGCGACGGCGTATGAGATAGGGCGATGCGGCAGCTCCTTGTCAAGAAGCATGGGTGGCACTGGCGGGACCGCTGGGGCTGTACACGGTGGGCTGTCTATCGGAGGGGAGATGGCGGCTGTAGGGATGGCTGAGAGTGAGACGGAGGGTTTGCGGCGGTTGGGTTCTAGGCGAGGGAGCAGTGCCAAGGGTGTGGGGTCTTTGGGGTTTGGCACGGGTGTTGTAGCGTCGGCGAGCGGGGAGGATGGAGGGTTATGAGCACTGAGATCCACATGGGAAGACAGTCCACTCCAGCGCGCGGGTCGAGCTGCCCTCCCCGCAGTTGTGAAGCTCCGCCATCGGTATCCTGGTGCAGCTTTGCTACGGAGCGCGAGGTAGATGCAGGTGCCAATGAGAGCAGTGATGAACACGACCCCTCCCGCGATTCCCCCAACGATGGCCCCGGTCTGCGAGGACTTATTAGAAGTGGCTGGCTCTGGCGGCGCGGCGGAGGATGCCATGGAGGTATACAAGCAGGACGAGCTTGAGCCGGAGGAAACGCGAAACGAGGCAGATATGCTTGCGATGTCTGCGCCAACCGCGAGTATCGCGTACACACCGTTTGTCACATTGACCGGCTCCCAAAAGTATGATCCCGCAGTAGCGAGAAGTGAAGAGGAAATGAGCGGCAAATGGAGTAGTGGGGTGGCGGAGTTGTTGAATACGAAGAGGGAGAGTTCTTGACCGGGTCCCTTGTAGTTCCATGAAATCGTCGCATTGCCACAGGTATACGTTGAAGGAACCTCCGCGAAGGTGAGGCTGGGAGCAGATGTCGCCATGATAGATGTATTACTTGTCGACGAGGAAGCAGTTGCATTCCTCCGAGTACCAGCAAACGATGAGACTGCGACGAGACTAGTCAGAGTGGAGATGACGGAGAAAGCGAAAGAAATGCACCGCTCACGCAGCCAATTTACAGAGGACGGCGCGATCGCGCCCGTACAAACCATCGGCGTCCCATTGCCTCCATGAACACATGGAAGAGTTCCGAACCATTGGATTTATCCTGAGTCCCGAGGCAGCGAGGAAGCGCTTCTACCGTCAGGGGCGGTTGCCGGCGAGCGTAGACGTGAGACGAGATGTGTTCCTAATCGACGGTTGAGTCGGGTTCATGAGGGCAACGGTCTGCATCCGTGGTCAGGGAATTTGTTGGGCATCGGGCGTCTCGGTAGCCACGAGGGCATCCCGGAGTAAGTCTATGTGGCACCGGTGCGCATCACGAGAGAGGCTATGCAAACTGTGAATATAAGGAGTCCCTGCAAAACATGTGTTCAATAACTTTGTTACACAAATTGAAGACTGACCTAGTCATAGTACGTCTCAATAGCCAGCCGCTCCAGTACTTCGAGCGAATTTGCTGCATACGTACGGTCTACAATCATATACGCCGCCGGGTAACGACACTGCATCCGCGGCATCATATGGCGCATAGATGTGGCGTATCACCAATAGAAGATCATGGAGAAAAGAGCTACATCGATGCAAGTCCGGGTAACGGGATAGATACATCACGAGAAGAGCTTGTTGACAGAGGTGTTGCCCTCCTGGTTCTTCTTGAGAACCTATTGCGCCGGAATAATGAGTTCGCCGAAAAGCACCTCGGAGCATAAGAGAAACTCACCTTCGCCACTGCGAACTCGAAGTCTTCCTGTGTGACATGTTGCCGGCGCTCACGGAGCGCGTACATACCCGCCTCGGTACAGATACCGCGCACCTCAGCTCCCGAACACTGTCCCATCTTCTCCGCCAGAGCGCGCAAGTTGATACCGCGCTGAAGTGACATCTGAGGGAAAGTGTGAGCGGGCGCAGCAGGAACAAAGCGGACCAAGTGCGTACCTTCCGCGAGTGGATGCGCAGGATAGCAACACGCGCCTCGGGGCCCGGCGGTGGGAACTCGATCTTGCGGTCGATGCGCCCTGGCCGGAGCAGCGCCGAGTCGAGGATGTCTATGCGGTTCGTCGCCATGATGACCTTGATGTTCTTTGTGGGCTCGAAACCATCGAGCTGGTTCAAGAGCTCGAGCATCGTCCGCTGCACCTCCGAGTCGCCGCCGCCGGACCCGCTCTCTCCTCGTGAGCTGCCAATGGAGTCGATCTCGTCCATGAAGATGATAGAAGGCGCGTGTTCGCGCGCCATGACGAACAGTTCGCGGACCATCCGGCTGCCCTCGCCAATGTATTTCTGCACGAGCTCGGAGCCGGAGACACGAATGAACTTGCAGTCTGTGTGGTGTGCGACGGCACGCGCGAGCAGTGTCTTTCCGGTTCCAGGAGGGCCGTAGAGGAGAACACCCTTCGGTTGTGCGATACCGAGCGACTCGAATAGCTCGGGGTGCTTGACGGGCAACTCGATGACCTCCTTGATCTCCTTGATTTGCTTGTCGAGACCGCCGACCATCTCGTATGTGCTGTCCGGAACCTTCTCGACCATCATGAGCGAGACGAGCGGGTCAATCTTGTTCGGCAGGATCTTGTGTATTGTGTAGGAGTCTGACCTGAGGGCCACGCGCAGCGAGGGTGTCAGTGTTGCAACGTCGATTTCGGAGTCGAAGTCCACAACTGAGGTGGGTTGCCATTAGCACAAATTCAAGGCATGTTTAAGCAGCTGCATTCAACATACTGTATTTGCCCTCTGGCTGCACCTTGACGAGAACTTTGTTCTTGCCCATGACCTTCACCACCTCACCGACATAGCTTCCAGGTTCATGCAGCAGTTGCAGCTCCTCTCGTAGTAGCCTCACTATATTTCACATGAGAATTCACCATTTCCTGTTGTACACTGCGTACGCACCGCGTGCATTAAGCGCATTTCGTTGTGCCTCCAACCGCCGCAAGTTCTGGGTCTTCTGATTGATTTCAAGCTCGGCCGCCTCAATCTTGGCCTGGTAGTAGGCCTTCAGTCCGGTCGCAGGGGTGGGTGTATGGATGGCGACAGGCATTGTGGAGGTTGGAGACGAGGGGGAGGGAGGGGATGAGGAGGACGTCGTAAGCGGCGAGCAGGACGCGACATTGGCCTACGCGTCCTGTGTGACACATCACGTGCAAGGTATGCGTAACGGTGTTCTTTGTGACCCCTTCCGCATCAGGCAGTCCAGAAAGATCGTCGAGAGACGCGTGCTCGACGTTCGCTCTTCCTGGCCAAGACCACCATCCTGGTTGTCTTCGTTCGTGCCGAGCGCACCGGTGTTGTTGCATCATAATGATGTCGATTTGGCTGCTCGCTCTAGACAACATGTGCCACGATGCCCTCAGCACCCGCAGCGAACAGACTGAATGGTGAGTGCAGTCCCGAGACCGGCTCCGGGAAAACTCATCATACGGTGCTCAGACAGAGAGAGTCGATCGTCGCTGCCAAACATACGATACTTCGGGACCACCGGGACTGCGGAGACTGAGAGATCATGGACTAGTGCAGGGCCCCTGACTGTAGACAAAGCTTCGTAGTGAGAGGAACCCAGGATGACCACATGTTCTTTCAAGATCAAGCTCGAGAGAACGACAGCTGATAGTACGCCCTACTCTCCACAAAGTAATGAAACTGCTGAAGTCGATCAAAGCAGCGAGGAGACTCCTCTTTGACAGACGTATAGTGCCCTCTTTGCGTCGATAGCAAAGCGGCATCTTATCTGATGTTCGACGAACCTCAATGTGTCGCGGAAGCTTTACATGATGTTCACACCGATAGGCTTCAGCGACTACTCTGCGGCGTCCCCCAATCGCGTATGGCGCACCTCAGACCTCGAGCCCGGTCAGCAGACCATCTACGTCCGCAGCCCCGGGCACTAGACATATTTACGCTGCCGCCGCTACCACCACGACGCCGCAGCGACCCGGCAAAGAGGAGCCGTTCCGAGAATCTGGAAGCGTGTCCCCACCTTCCCCGGCAATGTTCCTGGGGCACATTGACCGGGGGACGTGGCGCCCCGCATTCCGAGCCGTCATCGGCGTCATCTAGGCCCCCCGAGATCTGATGGGCGACGAGCAGGAACGGCGTGCTTGAGCAAAGTCTGAAGCGTATCCCCACCGGCAACGCGACCCGTTAGACGCGTTTTGGGGTGCGAATCGACGAGGGGCCCCCAGGTCCGCATCCCGTCGTCGCAAGTCAACGTCCACCTTTGGCACTGACGATCCGCGAAGAGACGAGAACAGAAGTGTGATGATAGTATTACAGGATGTCGACAGAATTTTAAGGCAATAAGGCTATCGCAAAGTGGGGTGCGTGGGCACAGCGCCGCTGGATGGCAAGAAATAGATACGACGCGGCGAATATTTTTGTGTGTCGCTATGACCTGCTATAAAGGTGAGCATCGCGGAGGATAGCAGCTTCTAGCTCAATAATAGAACTCACATGCCATATTTTCGTTTTAGCTCCTGCCATGAAGGGGAAACGGCAGGGAAACGGGCGACGAAGTCGTTCATTTCCTGCTCTGGGATGCGGTTGAGATCTACTCGGGTCCAGTATCGCGTCATCGCGTAAACGATGTCTCGAGCGTCTTGTTCTCGGCCACGTCTGTCCAGGGCGGTTAGCCCACGTTCACGGGTCGTTCGATGCCCATAAACAGCCGCACGTACAGCGCCCACGCCTTGACTTTTGCTCGTACGAACTCGGTGATAGTGAGGAATGGCACCCCACCCACTGCCATTACCGTTGCGCCGTCGAGCCGTCGAGGGCCCTCTTCTCCCGCGAGCAGGATTTCAATCTGATCTCTTAAGTGGACCGTCAACGGGAGCCGCGGAAGGGGAACTCACATCAATGGCGGGAATAAGCCGCTGGTATTTCACGTGTAATCTGGAGCTTGGTGAATCGTGGTCATGGCAGTGCGCTGGACGTTCAGGCGCAGACTTACCGGTTGCTCCATGGTGAGGTCACTATGGAAAAGTCCTCGTTTCCCGCGCACGCTTGACGCACTCGACGGAATGGATGTGCCGCACCACCTTCCACGACACACGAGATTTCCTGGGTGGGTGTTAACTTGCGTTCACCGGGGACACTGGCTTATGACGCACCTCGGCCAATGATGAACCAGACAGTACGGCCGTCAGAACGTTTCCATGAAATGCATGGGGGACACCAGCATCCCGGAGGAGCTGGGATAGAGCGGCGGCGGCTTGGAGCAAGCGAGAGACTTCGTGCATCGTCGGGAAGGGTGAAAGGCGAAAGCCATCGGGGCCCGGATTTCGAGCTCATGTAGTAGTACGAGCCGGAGCTGGACGCCTAGAGAAGTTGGGAAGGAGCGATCAATGGGCTATGAGTCCGGGATCTGTCCCGTGGCGTCCAGGGCGAAGGCCGAGCGAGGACCGCTGTGAACGCGGTCGTTTCAATGTGATGTGGGCATGCGTACCGATCCGGGTGTGCCAGGATGGGCAGGTGTCTAGGGCGCGTCCAACTCGTGGCCTAGCGTGGCCTATGGGAGCGCGGGGGAAAAGATGTTTTCAGATCCAGGCTAGCATCACATGGCCCGAAGCGTGTATCACCGTGGTTGAACTCTGCCGGAATATTATGACCTAAGGAGCGGACACGACACATTGACTCATTTCCGCTCTTGATCTCGCATATCCTCAGTGAGTAAGAGTGGCTCCTAACCGTCTGCAAGGCTCTCAATCGAAGAGCTATTAATTGGAGTGTGAGTATGCACCTAAGCGATGGACGTCCTCTCGTACCTCTTCAACGCTGACGGCTACCGTTCTGAAGCTTTCTTTCCCAGAGGGGTCCTGATATTTCGGCCGAGTGTACTTTGTCGGCTTTTCGCCGAAGTTCTCTGCTTACCGGTCGTGAGGCTTGTGTATATGGCCATGGTGGAAAAGAAAGTACATATGTACCATGGCCCGGAATGCCGGAGGCTCGTAGACGCCCGCATACTTACGTCAGATGGCCCTGAAATGGGCGTCTACGAAAGTGCCGACTGGCGCGTTCTCCGCGTCTTTTGCCATCCGCCCTTCCGTCTGTCCGCTACCTCAGTCGTGATTTGCACGCGTTCTTGCGTATGTCTACGCTGCTCAGGACGCTTGTCGAACGCCATGTAACCCCTTGGGCTCCTGGTGCACCCATGAAACGTTGTCGAACTCCCTGGATGGCTTGTCCTGGACTACATCTCCCGCGAAGAACGTGCTTGTCTGCTCTCCAAACTAGATCATACTGCCGGACGAATTTGTCGAGAACGGCCACAAATACTCTATGCCGGACATGGCCCACGACACACCCTGCCAGTCCGGGACTAAGGCGGTTCACGACTTGGTTGCAGCGGCTAGGAAAACCACAGGATCCACAAGAGGAGCCGACGGATGGCACCGAGCAGGCCGCAAAAATCGCCATGCTAGAGAAGGCAATGAAGGGGCGGCAGCCGACCGATCTCATGCTACGATGTACGTCTGGAGACGCACCTGTACACTCACACGTTCGTTAACCGTGGCCAATGTGTAGGTACAGTCCTGGACGCGGAAGGTCAGCTGCTGCCTCCTGGCGCCATTTGTTCGTCTATTCACCGCGCTTGCTGTGGTGTTTTACGTGTGTAGGGAGCGTGACCACGATCTCTGGGCAATTCAAGAAGTCCGATTTGTGTTCCGAGCACCGTTTGAACGTAAGTGCCTTTACTCCCACACACGACCGGGATGTCGGGGCCAGCCAGCGTGACATCCGATACTACCATCTCGTCCCTTTCGACTCGGCCAACCACACCCTCCCGCTCGGTGGTTATTGAGGCAGTCCGCCCGATACAGCGGCCGCCCGTTTTTCTACCCTAGGGCACATGCTTCGTGCACATGAGCGAAAGCACGGAAGGCTTCGCCCTATATCTTAACGGGGGGTCGTCGTGGCATGGCCGAGCAGAGAGCGGGCTTACTGCGCGAGTCCATTGCGGTTCAATCTTTACCGCTACGGGAGTTTACATTCCAATCCACTCCGGCTTGGGGTCGCTGGTGACGGGAGCCAGATGCGCCAGGTACCCTCGTGTTGCAGTAGCGGGCGAACATCACCGTGATGATCGTTCACGCACAGGCATGGACATGCTGGGAGGAGAAGGGATCAACCGGGGCAGGATAGTGAAATTGAGAGCGGTAGCTTCATTGACCTTCCACTACCCCCCGGTATATACCTTCTACGCCCCGTCCCCGCAGTTTAACCGGAGTATACAGGCTACTCGTGTCTTCGCATGTTTGTACGTATCTAACGGGTCAGGAGACAGCCTCGTGATCTCCGCAAAATCGATTCAAGGATACCGAACCTCGTGCCTACGATCTTGGTGCGAAAGGAAGCAATCCTTGTACGTGTTCTCCCCAGCAACGGTCGGCCTGCCTGACTCATTATGCATTGCGGACAGGTCAACATCCTCCACATACGTGCCCTCGTCAAGGCAGACACAGTCATCCTCTTCGACACCTATGGCTCGGCCGACTCTCGTTTACACTCGGTGTTCCTCTATCACCTCGAGGTGCGTCTGGATTATCTATGGTACGGGGTGCCCCGCTAATTTTGCTCTAGCATAATCTGAGAGCGAAAACGTCGGGTTTGCCTTATGAGTTCCGGTGAGCAAGCCAGTTCATCCTGCATTCCCTCTCGGGTGCCGATTGTCTTCGCGCTTGACAGCTTAGCGGCTGGTTCACAGAGCGCTGGAGTCGATCTTACTGTCCGTGTTGAGTGCACTGGAAGCGGAAATGGTCTTCATCCGCAACCTCGTCGGGGGACTGCTTGCAGAACTGGAGGACGACATCGATCACGACCGGTTTAAGCGTCTCCTGCACTATTCGCGTAGGTTGGCTAGCTTCCAGAACCGCGCAAAGCTGGTGCGTATATTTCTGCTTCATTCAGATATCTCGCCGCTGAACCTTGTATATTCGTACAGGTTCAAGAAGCTCTGGAGGAGGTTCTCGAGCAAGGTAAGCTCGCTTCGCGTTAAATCTCTTTCGCACCTAACGCCATGTTGTTCGCAGACCAGGATCTCGCAGCCATGTACCTCACGGATAAGAGGAATGGAGTGCCTAGACAACTCGACGACCACGAGGATCTGGAAGTCTTGCTCGAGTCGTTTTCCAAACAGGTTGAGGAAATCGTGAACGAGGCTGAAAATATACAGGTGAGCCACAATCGCGCTTGGTTCGACAGCGCTCATGCTCAACGTGAATATAGTCAAATGTCCAATCCACGCAAGAGATTGTAGAGCTTATCCTCGACTCCAATCGGAACGCGCTGCTAGCATTAGACCTTAAGGTCTCCATTTTGACGATGGGGATCGGGATCGGCACACTTGTGGCTGGCGTGTTTGGTATGAACGTAAGTCGTCAAAATCGGCTAATGGCCACAGTATCTCGGCAGATCCTCATCACATCATTTCGACAGTTGAAAAGCCATTTCGAGGACCACGACTACGCATTCTACGTCATGAGCGTCGCTGCGATTGCTGCATGCACGGGCGCGGCATGGATCGGAGTGCGCCGGTACGAGACAATCATACGTTCTGTATTGTGTGGCAAAATAGCTCACCTCGGTCACAGGCTCGCCCGGATCCGTAAAGTCGGGCTATCTAACGGGAACCGCAAGAAGCCTGAAAACCGGCGGTGGAACTTGTTTTCACTACGTGGGCGCCGACCTGACTCTTGGTCATGATCATCTTTTTGTTGCTGTTTGAGGCAGTACTTCCCTCGGGCCAGGCCCGTCATGCTCTGCATTCTCATGCCCCCCGTCCACTCGTTTCGTCCACCCCCCTCCGCCTCTACACGTTTCACACCCTCCGCTCTTGCACCATCTTACGACCGGCACATACTGTATAGGATATCTACATGTATAATGCATACCGCCCAGCCTATAGAATGACCGTCTCCATGCCCGTGCGAGCATTTGAGCGGGGAAGTTAATCGAGTTTAAAGTTCGTTTACACAAGTCGAATCGGAGGGACAGCCGTATCGCGCCGCACTCGGCAGCGTTCCGCGCCCGGATGCTCTTCCTGGGTGCCGGTCCCTCCGTCGTCTCGCGCCTCCGGGCAGCGAGCCGCGCCAATTTCCTAATTGAGCGCCGGCCCGACTTCGTGCCGCGCAGGGGGTACTCGCCTTCGGCAGCCGAGGAGGGGTTTCCTTTACTCCTTTCTCCTCGTCGCTGCCAGGTGAGTAACGTTCGCCCTCGCGCGGGCTTTTCTGCTTTTCGGAGTCGTTGCTAACGACTCCTTTCTCCTCGTCGCTGCCAGTGCGACTTTTTTGGTTATACAGTCGTATACTCCCATCTATCGAGATCAGAGAAAATTTCCTTCATGTCCA